TTAACTGCAGCTGAAATTGAGTTGGGTTTTAATCTATTTAACACAAAAATGTTTCTTTATTTCGAATCAAATAAATTTCCGCTAGTTCGGTTTACGGTTTGAACCAGCTTCCTGACTTTAGGTTCGTATGGTGACTCATGAATCCAAGTATAGCCCAGCCAATGTTTGAGAATTGAGTCTAATTTGAAGGTTTGAACTCGAATCGGCTTGCAGCCTGGCTCTTGTGAGACCTATGAGCTTATAAGACACCTACGTCTTTAATATAGCTTTTTTCTAGCCAGATCTAGCTTTTTTTCTTGCGCGAATAGTTAAGAACAGAAAATTATTAAGATAAAACATTTTCTTTCTTATTTTTATTGAAATCGATCTGTTTTATTTCTTGTGAGCGCCTTGTTGGCTTCGTGCGTAGTTCATAGATGCTATGAAAAGTCTAGGCTAGACTAGAGCACCAATTGTGCAAATTGTGCTAGGTATGTGCCGAGCGAATGGCTTCAATATTTCCAAGAAAATATTCGAATAGCTGGCAGAAATGTATATGGAAAGCCCCTAAAAGGGATGACGCTGACAAAAGTTTGCTGTTGGGCATTATAATTGTAATTATCTCGAGTTCAGATGAAATTTCAACAATTCTATGAATTGCTTGAATTTCAAGCTAGATTACTTGCAAATGCAGCGGCATTGTCCTAACTCTTTGCCCGTGCTCAAGTTGTGCCCTGTCTTCTAATTGTGTTGGCTCGTTTTAAGGCGCAACAATTTGTCTAGCCCAACGGCTGTGGCAGAAGCTGTGCAAATGGCAGCGGCTGCAGCTGAAGCCGAGGCCATCCATAAATGGAATTCATGAAGATGTGGAGCTTAAATTGCCAGAGCTCAGTTCTGGCATCAGCCGAAGGGCAAAAGATACAAATTCACAAAACTGACAGAAACTGAATCAGCAAAATTTAATCACCAGCCCCAGTCTCCAACGGTGTGTGTGTGTGTGTGTGTGCGCTACATGGAATTACATAAAAAAGAAGAAGAAGAAAATAAAGAAATAAAGCCTGAAAATCAAAAACATGAAGCGTTAAGAGACTCCAGACCCTTTGCGGATGAGCAGGCGAATTGTCAACTCAGTTTCGCTGGAAGCCCGGAAAAGGTGTATCAGAAACTTTTGCAGCTCTGCCACTTGCCACTTGTCCCCCACCATCCCAGCCAAAAAAATATAAGCTGAACCCCGAGATAAAGCCATAAGTTACGTAGTTCAACATAAATTCGGGCTGTTCTCCAGCTTCACCCCCCACCTATCCACAGGGCAGAGCATTTCATGTGAACGAACTTTAACTTTTAGCAAGCATGGCTGTGGTTGGAGAGGGACTTCGACTGGAGATGCATCACACTCAGCTGCAGGTAATATGTAAGCTGCATCATTAATCTTGAGCCCGCATCAGAAGACAAACCTAACCTCAAAGCAGAACATAACCTCAAACCCGAACCTAACCTCAAACTGGTGCTCATTCTCTTTGCTGAGTCAGTTGTGTAGGCTGTCTGCTTGTTGGGTTATTAATGGGTTAAGCTAATTATTGACACTGATATCTGACTGGCCCTCTAGCAGGCATCCCTCGCCTCTCGCCCCAACCCGCCCGTCAGATGAAAAAGTCCCAACAACAATAACAATCAATTTAAAATTCTTTCCAATACATTTGGTGCTCAAATTATGCATGACAAATGTTTAAAAGTTCATGACTAAAATGCAAACAAAGAGCTGTTGCCAGGGGCGTCGTCACGAGGGGGGCCGGTGGGGAAGGGGGGTCGACAGGATTTGATGCGAGCGAGCGAATGAAGCATGTGAAAAATTGCCATAAAATTATGAAAATGTGCGCTAAACTATGTAGCCAGACAGGGAGCATGGCCGTCGTAGGGGGGCAGGGGTCAGGCACAGGGGCGGGGCCCTGTTGCCAGCTGGAAGGGCGTAAGCCAGAACTAAGGCTTGAAGCAGCCAAACTGGCTAAAAGTTTTGCGTATGTTTTGTGGGCGCAGGCGATGATGGCGAGCACGGTCAGCAGGAGGCGGCCAGAGGCGTAGATGGAAAAATAACTATAGAGGGGTTTCATTGCAGAAAACAGAAGAAAATCAGACAAACTGCAGTTAGTAAGCTAGCAGCATGCTTTATGGCCAACTGGTTGTATAGTTGAACAAGATCTGTTGCCCCCGTGCCTCGCCCCTTTGGTGCGACGGTGCAACTGCAACGCAGCTAATTTAGTCAAGGTAACTCTCATTACTCAGAAGGGTACAAACAGCAAAGCGGCGTGAAAAAAGCGACAATGCAACAATGATGCAAGTCAAGTTAAAGGGGTGAGGGGGGGGCAAAGAGGCGTTTAGTAATGGGTGGGCAGAGGAGGAGGAGTGCAAAGGGCAGATAATGACGCCAACGCTCGGTTCGGAGAGCTAAGCAAGCATCATGTGAATGTGATGGCAGCGAATGCAGCAATTGAGTTGGAAGAGGCGAAAACGGAGGGGGGAGTTGGTTGATCATGGGCAGCGGGAAGTTAGGAATTGCAAAAGGGGGGGGCAGGAGAGAGATGGTAGCTGGTATGAGGAATGGAGCAGTGAGGCGGTTTATTTGGTTAAATGCAGAAAATTGGCAAAACGCAGAGACATGGCCAAAACTGAGGCGAATCGGACAAAGGGGTCGGAAAGGGGAGGGAGGGGGGGGAGGAGTATGGGGCAAGGCAAATATGTGGATGCATTTTTTCTCTTTATTTTTGGTTGGCCTCTTGTCAGAGTTGATGAGCTGCAGCTGATAGTTTGCAGCTTAATGGTGGGAAAAATGCAACAAAAAAGTGGAAAAGGAAACAGGGAAAAGCAGAAGAAGCAGCACCAGAAGGAACGAAACAACTGACTGGAATGGGGCGTGGCGCGGTGGGCGTGGGAGCTAACCAATTGGAGTGTGGGAAATTTAATGAGTGGGAACAATACCAGATACTAAATGCCAGGTAAAGTTGCAGCAAGTGAAAGCCGAGGCGTAAACAAATGAAAGTGCGCGACTAGACAGATACCCTGTAGCCTATGCTATGATCAGACTGCCGACTACCCTGTAATGCATTCAGAGGCTTGAATTACTTGCTATTTACTAATAAATTAATTTGTGGGAATATTAGACTTGGCAGCTACCCTTTAATTGTTTGCAAGTCAGTAAGCTTTTTTATTGCAAATGAAGTACAGTTTTTACAAAGGTAGCACTATTATATTAGTTGTTGGTTGGGAAAGAAATTAAGTACACTCGACTAACAGATACCCTATAATGCACATGTACTAAACAAACACTTCTTTTGACTTTCTGACTTTCTTATAAAATCTTTAAAATATTTTAATGGCACATTTGAACATGCTCAACTAGCAAATAATCTGTTAAATTCAACCCCCATGAATACATTGCATATTGTTACCTTTATGCCCCATGCAACCCACTTTTCAGTCATTAAATGGATAAAGGGTGTGCATGAATAGACAACGAAAGAGAACGACTGCCAGAGGATTAGGGTTAGGCAAAGTTAAATACAATTAGAAGCGACTACGGCTGCAAGGGAAAATGGACAGTTCGGTACAGAGATTGAAAGATTGCCAACAGCCTGGCCAGAATAGTCGGCATATTCGTATCTGCATATACATACATATACATATAACCAAATGAAAACCAATGAAAAACAATAGAATCTCCCGGGCAGGGCGCACTCAACAATTGCCCAGACAGAAACAGGAATTCAAAAATGTGAAATAGAAACGAATTGATTAAACGACAACAGTTCTGAAAAACAAGAAGCTTGGATGCAACACCAAAGGGGCGGTGAGGGGGGATTTAGAAAAACAGTCAGGCACCGACAATTGACCTGTGCTCCATGCACTTCGCATTACCAATTACAAGCAGAGTCCCAGGCCACAGGCCTTGGAACCAGGGGACCTATGAAATGCAAATGGTAAGTAAGACCATTGGCAACAAATGCGGAACGTCAACGACCACGACAATTGAGGCCGCAATCAGGAAAACGTTGAAAACAGTGCGGCTCGGAGGGCGGGCTGTCAGTAAAAAGGAACTTGAAAACGAAATCGAACTAGGTAGCGCCCCGGACTCATTGTTATGCAATTGCAGTGGCTGAAAGAGTGGGTGGGGGGAGGTTGAGTCAATTAAAAATGCAGCCATTGCTCGATGTGGGCCCCATATAGTCCAGTCCAACGTCTGAACGTCTGGATTAGGGCCAAAGGCGTTACAAACAGCAAGTGCTCGTATCATTGACCTTTTGGCACACGCCATTGCCCGCTCGCTCCCGCTCTGGTGCTCCGCTCTCTGCTGTGCGAGTAAGACATAATCCAATTAGCAATTAGTTGTGTATGCCGGGCGTCGTCGTCAGGTTACCTGTGCGCAAGAGACCCTCCTTAGATGGTTCAATAGATAGCCGGCCCTGTACAGGTAGAAGTAGTAGCAGCAGTTGCAGAGCCCGGACCAGAACCAGAACCAGACCCAAACCCGAAGCCGAACCCAAGCCCAGTTGCTGGCTAGGTTTGGGCAGTGCCTAATGCATTACGCATGCCGACTAAATAACTCAATTTAGTATGCCAGGGGCGCACTTGTATGGCATGCGGCACGTCTGTCAGCGCTTCCTGTTCATCAGCCTGGACTAGTCGCAATCAAAGAAAAAAGAAAAACATTCTGAAACACACACACACACACAACAATATGCCAGTCGAGGGTTTATATATTATATATGTATCTGAAGGCCCATCGTTTGTTTTGATAAATATTCCTTGAAACTGTTTATCAGATTTCTTTAAGCATTGAAGTATAGTAGACATGTATTATTATACTTGTACCTTTTATTTTAATGCATATTAAACATATGAGCTAACACATACCAAATTTTTCAACTCTAGCTCGAATGGTGTCCAAAATCTACAAGCTGAGCTGGCTAATAATTACAGGGTATGCATACTCGAGACACTCGTAAACAGCTACGTTTGAACACTCAAATTAATTCTTCAGTTGTCAGATTAGAAATTTGTAGAAAAATCAGTAACCAAATCAAAACATTTTCGATTTTCAGACCCAAGTGTGTTAACCAATGGAACTAGAGACCTAAAACCAGATATTACAAAACAGTTTAAAAAAAACCCTTACAAACGTTACAAATTTAAGTCATTTTGTGGAATTACGACATTCGGTCATATTTATTTCTCACATCATATTTTGGGTAAGTCGTATGCGGTATACCCTGTAATACATTTGAGGTGTATACATAGATATGGTGTACATGTAGGTATATAGACATATATTGATATAGTGTATATACAGACATAGCTATAGAGATATAGTGTAAGAGGCACGGCTCATAGAGGCATGGCTACTAATTCAGGATAGGGTAGATTATTATAATGGAAGATCTTAAAGACATATCGTATATAACAAATAATCAAGGGTATATGTAATATACGCTTTCAATACATTTTCAGACATTTATCATAAAATTATAATATCGTATATGGTTTAGTCTATAGAGAATAGTGAGGTTGGATTATATGGTGTTTTATGTTCATACCCCAAATATCTTTTATGTGACACATTTTTATTGGTATATCGTATATTATATATCGTGTATTACATACATATGCTCAAGGGTATTTACCATAATGTTATATATACAATTTCAAACAATTATCAATAATATATAACTTCGTATATATGTTATATGGTTAATGCCCTAAAAATCTTTTCGTGTGACATGATTTCATAGAAATATCGTATATAACAAATACTCAAAGGTATTATATATGCTTTATACTTATACAATTTCGTTCTTTTATCATAAATATATATATAGTATCGTATATAGGTCTAAAGTTGTGTTCTTTACTGTTATATGGTGAATACCCCAAAAAACTTTTCATTGGACACATTCTTATAGATAAATCATGTACTATAAGTGCCCAAGAGCATTAAACATAAAAACATAATATCGTATATGATTAAGTCTATCAAGAACACGGTGAGGTTAGGTTATGCTATATGGTAGTCTTTTCTTCAGACATATTCCTATAGATATATCGTGTATTACAAATACCCAAGGGTATTAACCATAATGTTCTATATACAATTTCCTCCATTTATCGTACATATACAAGAGCGTATTTATTTCTTATTTATAGTGCATGAGGCACACTTGAATGCGAGGCTTAAGATCAATAACGCATATGCCATATCATTTATTATAATTTCCCAAGACATTCCTTCGTGGATTGGCTTTCTCTTGGCTGGGACTGAAATTGTATTTAAAATTCATTCATCATACTTAAAAAACGCACAACAAAAAATTAAGAATTAAGTTGGGGTAGAAAAAAACAGACAGCTGAGCGTGGAGCTTGAGGTGGGGGCGCGCGGTTAAAGGGATAGGGGCGGGTAGGGGCAACAATGGAGCAGGAAAACAATCCTTCATTTGTATTAACAGTGCATTTTTTGTAGCCCTCCCCCACAGCCCCTCTCTCAACCCAAAACTCCCAGCTCTCGTAGTTGTTGTTGTTTTTTCGCGCAGTAATTTTCTGTTGTTATTTTTTAAATTCTTTTTTTTTTAAGCTGGTTTTGGGTTTTGCTACTTATTGTTTGTGTTTTTGTAATTCCGCTGGCATTATGTGGGTATTCATTTTTTCCCCTACCCAACCCAACCCACCCCCCGTCGCTTGCATTGCCACTGAGAAAAAGTTGTTTAATGGCATCCCAAGAAGCTCGAAACGAAGCTGGGGCTGGGGGCAGGCAGAAAGGGGAGCTTCAGTAGAGACACTTGAAACTGACACAAACATTGGCATAATTTTCCTTTTTTTATGTATTTTTTTCTCAATTCACTTTGTTGGTTTTGTGAGCTCATTTTCATTTCGCCGACTCGCGTTTCGCATATTTTGGATACAGATTCAAATCCACTTGTAATTATGCCACATGGCAGCCAGTGTGAGACACATTTTGTGTTGCACTTGAGCTTGAAAATGATGAGGGCCGCAGCTCGTTTTGTTGCAAGTTTTGATTATAATTAATCGAAAGCAACAGGGCAAATTTGTGTTGTTTTTTCTTGAGCATAATTGCCTGACGCCCCACGTTGGGCGCCGCAAATAGCAATGGAGGAAAGTTTGGCTGCGGTCTGGGCGTAGTTCATAATATCTACAATATATGAATGCTGTCCCAGCTACTTACTCATAATTAGCCCCCCAGCATAGCTGTCGAGCTGCCTTTTTTTGGGCGCCCCACAGACAGAGACAGAGGCTGAGGCAGAGGCAGAGGCAGGAGAGCATCGGGCAGGGCGCGGGTGACCGCCGCAGCTCATTTGCACTTAATTTATGGGTCTGCATAAAAAGATGGCTGGAGCTGGAGCTGGCGGAGGCAGGGAACGGTGGGCGGGGGCATGCAACAATGGTTGCTAATTATGCGCAAGTTTTTGGATCAACTTCAACTAATTGTCTGTCAGTGTGGCACAGCACAAGGCGGCTCCTGCGCCGCCCAAAAATACAGATGGGAGTCAAGTCAAGTGCAGAGGCAGGCCAAAGTTATGCAAATAATATGTACGCATACATATATATCTATATGTACTCACAGTATATACTCTAGAAGACGCCCATCTATGCATTGCAGATTGCGCACATTATGCAGCTCATTATAATCATTATTTGGTTGTGAGACGAGTCCCGAGCTAATCATGAGTACCCGACGTGTAAGTCCTTCGACTCTTTAAAACTTTTGTGGAGTATTTTCCATTTTTTTTTGTCTGGACTAGATTTGTGCAGGCAAGCCCGCCCATCTCTCTGAATTAAGCTCGCAGTGGGCGTGTGTTTGTGGAAGAAACGCGTGATTGATGGTGATTGATTGCTATGTCATAAGGTTTTTTGCTGAAACGTTTGTTCGCAAGTGAAGTTTTTGATTTTATCAAAGCCGAACTTATTTTAACCTGGCAACCGAATTTTTGATTTATCATGAGTCGAACTTTTAGACGGAGTAGTTGACAAATGAATGGTCGAGTCTAAAGCTGAACTGAACCAGTTTTTTTTACTCGTTTAGAGGCTATCATAAATTTGTCATGACTTGTGTAACGCATACAAGGAGACATCTCCGTTCCCATAAAGTATATATATTCTAGATCAGCATCGACAGCCGAGTCCATGTCCGTCCATGTTTGTCCGACCGTCTGTCTGTCGGTCTGTGTACAAGTCTTGCAGTTTTAAAAGCTCACGTCTTAAAAGTTTGGATATGTCCGTCTTTCTATTGCAGGTAGAACGTATATCTACAGCTGACGTATCGCACCACTATATCATATAGCAGTCATAGGAACGATCGGTTGAAAAGTAGGTTCATGTGTGAAAAACTTGTTTGTTTATCAATATAACTTGCCCAAACTCGACATTTATAAGCTTCACTATGCTCCCTACATCCGAATCTTATTAATATAGCTGCCATTGGAACGATTTGTCGAAAACTGAGTACTTGTATGGACAACTTTTTTGTTTACCAGGATATCTTGAACAAACTTGCCATATTTAAGTTTAACTATCTTATAAACGTCGGACAACTAAATCACATAGCTGCCATAGGAACGATCAAAAAGTAGGTTCTTGTGTGAAAAGAAATATCTAGACCAGACTCGGCATTTATTAGTTTTATTATGATCTTTATATATGGGCCAAATCTTTTCAATATCGCCCTAATTTATATTATAGCACTATAGGCGGAATCGGTTAAGGATTTAATCAAATATATTCTGTTTTCAAAAATATTTTAATCAAGCTCAGCATTCACGAGCTTTACTCATTCCCGTATCTGCAAAAGCTTCAAGCAATTTCATTCAATTCCATTGACCAAGCTTAACTTCCCTTGAGAATCTTTGCTCAATATCGACTTTGGCCTTTAAAGAGTTGTATATCTAATTTAATTAAATTTTTTCACTGCTTTCTCAAGAGGAAACAATAAGCTTTAGATTACTTTACACAGCTTTTAGATACTTGAGGCCAAGCTTATAGCTTTATTATACAAAAAACAAGCTTGGCAACTGACTTATTGCGATCACTGTTTGTGTACGAAAAGTTTAAAACAATTTGTTTGCTTCATTATTAACCTGATTCGGCCAAGTTGGCGAAGTTCATCGAGGGGTTTGTTTTGCTTGTTATGCGAACTAAATACCGAACGGACATATTGCATTTTAAGACAAATTATTGTTGTTGCTGTTGTTGTGTTTTATGTTCTTGTTGGTTTTAATAAAAGCAAATGCGCGGCTTATAACGCAGCGAGTTGCCATGGCGCAAACAAAAGCGGCCCAAAAAAAAAACCAGCCAACGCCAACAAAACACAATTGTTAAAGCTAGGCACGGGGAAAGGGGGACGGGGGGGGGGGGGGGCGGGCTCTGGGCACGAACATGGGCAACTGCTCCATAAAAATGCCCCTTACTGGATTTAAATTAAAGCAAGACTGCAAGGGAGAGCGGGAGGAAGAGCCAAGTCGCTGCATAGCGCTGAATGGCGGCATAGCAAGTGCTGTAGGCGACAGCGGGGGAGAGGAAGGGGTTGGCTGGCGGGGTTGGGTTTGAGTGTAGGCATGCCACATAAAAGACGTGGCAACAATTCTTTTTCTACGCACGGCCAGACTTGCAACATAATTGGAATTTCCTTTTTCCTGCCTTGCCTACAGTACGCTCAAGTGCCACAAAAGACCAGGCTCAAGAGTTGTCTCCGCTTGTTGCTGACCATCAGCTGTCCCAACAACAACAACAACAACAACAACAACAACAACAACAACTGCAACAACAACAATGCAACAATAGTTGCAAGAACAACAACAACGGACTTCATCAAAACTGCGACTCGTCGTCAAGAGTTGCCTCAGAAGCGATTCCCAAGAAATTCAAACATGTCGCTGGATTTTCGAATTTGGGTTTGGGGATTGCGAGAGAAAGCGACTTATATGACAGTTATGCTGCTGCTTCTTCTTGCTCATTTATGTTGTCTGTCTGCATTATGCTTCGTTAAGTTCAAGGGTTAAGCCGAATGCCGCCCCCCTCCACCGCCCCACCACAGCTCGTCAATCATATACTTATGTTATAGGCTCTACCCTGTAAAAAAGGGCAAAGAAAAGAACAAAGATCATTTTCGTATATAGTTTATATATAGTTGTTCAGCATTTGATCTTGTGTCTACATTTGCCCTTAATCAATAAAAGACAAACAATTTCGGAACCCAATTGGTGAGGTTAGCTACGAGCTATTCCGATTACTTTCAAGAGACGGTTACAAAAGTGTACTTTGATAAGATTTTTTATAGCCCTGCAATCTTCTACTAAAACCCAAAAATATCAGTTTTACCTATTTAAAATCGTTTCCTTTTCCAAAAATGTGCTCAAATATGTTATTTGGTCAGGAATTTGAGGGTTTAAATCTAAAGAAATCTGTGTTGCTCTATTTTAAGAAGAGATAAATATTAGATGGCTCAAATAAAGTGAGCTTGAGTCACCAAATTAGATATCTAGCTTCTGGGACAGGATATACAGATCAAGTAACTTTCGGTTTCTAGCTAGATATAGAAGTTGAATTTTCTTATTTGCTTTATTGCAACTTTCTTTATATTCTTTTTTTACTTGTTGCCAATTGTTTGCCTCAAGCGCTTCTAAATCGGCCTTTGTCGGATTTATTGCAACTTTGCTGGCATAATTTCTGCGTTTGCCAGCACTGTTCTCAGGCTCCAGTGAAAGCTGTTGAGCGATTATGTGGGCTAGTTCCCAGTCGCGGCTAATTAGAACGCGCCACACTCGTCAGCTCGGACTCTGTAAGTAGAGTCTGTGTCATCAGTCGAGAGCCGCTCGGACAGGGGCAGCGCTTGCGAAGGGGGGTTCTGAAGGCCATAAAAAATAAAATATGAAACAAGCCCGTTTAATGCAACGAGCACAGGTTAATGCGCGCTCGCTTGCAACATCAGTTGAGGGGCATGCGGCACGATGACGAGTTCTTTTCATGTCGTTTCAACAAAGTCCGCTCAAAAAAAATTAAAGAGAAATAAAAAAGAGGTTGCCCACAGATACAGTTAAGCAGCAGAAAAAATGTTGTACATGTTCACAAAAAAGTTGCGTCAATTAATTTCATTTAGTTTTTATTTATTTTTCTTTCTTTTTTTTGGGGGGGGGACATTGTGCGTTTGCCATGACATGTGTAACGCACTGGGTGAGAGGGATAGTTTGTTAGGTCCAAACAAGTAAGAGTTCTCTAGCCGACTAGGGAATACCCTGAACCTTCTGCTACCAACCCCAAATGCAGCAAGCTCTAGAGGGAGGGGTAAAGGGATTGCTGCGTTAGCAATAAAATGAAAGACCCTTGACCTTTTACTATTCTAGAAGCTACATTTCATATTTGGTGACTCTAGCTCTTAAAACAAGATTTCGATATCGATTTCTTATCGATTGCTTGGAAACGAAACAAGTTTTCGATTATCGAAAACAAACTCGTAGTGTGCAGGCACTTGAAGGGCCTCTAGATCTTATAGGTTCGGAGATCGGATGGACAGACAGAATATATATACTTAATGGGGTCGGCCATGCTTCCTTTTCTCTGTTACATTTGCGCAAAAACATTTTACACATTTTACCCATTTTCAATGGGTTCGGGATATAACTATATGTTCTTGGGCAGAAAGAGGTGTTGCCTAGGTACTCTATAGGAATTAGTCTTTATTACACTACACAGTACACTCGCTTCCTTCTGATTAGTGCATAACATATCTTGTTACCAGCTGGTTGGTTTATTACATAGGTTACATAATTGTTAAGACAGAGTGTTTTATGGAGTCATATTTGGCTAAAGGCAAGTTCTCTTAAGCTTTTTATTATATTTTAAACCTTTTTTCAACGTTTAATTTTTAGATCTTTTATTCGTAGTTTTCATAGGAATAATTGATAAGGTTTTCCTAAATTATATTTCAACATAGATAACCATTTGTACCCTGTAAAAGCGAAGTGCTTTATGGCCAATCTGATATATCTTTTTATGTCAGCCAAATTCTATTTAAAAGGCGTTTGAATAATTTTTGAAATCTACTCAAATTGAACTCAAACAGGGCTGGGATTATTTGCGGTTAAGTGAAAATATTAGATGGAGTCTTGAAATTTAAAAGATATAAATTTTAGCATAATTTCTTATCGGTATCTGAGGATGGGACATTTCATAATATCGATAAATATCGATTTAGCGACTTGATCGTTGAGAAATAACTCGAAGATTATGGAAGTTTAATATACCAACATTTGTAAGCAGCTTCTCGTAGAGTAAACACAGTTTATTCATATTTCCCCTTGTCGATTCCTCCCCTTTTTGCTCTCAAAATTAATCTTTGACCTGAAACTTTTATCAAACCGTTTTTATTTAATTAATTAATTTTCTCTTAATAATTTTTGAAAATCTTTTGTATAGAGATTAGAGAAACGGTATTTTTTTCGTGTATATAAAAAGCTTAGCTCCATACATTTATATTTTCCCCAACAATTGAACAGAATATAGTTTGAGGTCAGCTAACTTTATAGTGCTTTAATTAAAACTGTCTGTAAGGGTACGTTTAAATTCGTCAAGCAGCAATTAGCTTTTCTTTTATGTGTCTTCTGTTAATGTTGTTGTTTAGAACTTTGTCTGGTCAGATCCGGTATAAAATACCGGTATGGGTCTGCAGCAAACCCCCCCTTCCGCTCAGGGAAAGGTTAGACAAAAGCCACACAGCAGACAGAAGCTGATGACGATTAGAAAAGAGAGAGAGAGAGAGAGAGAGAGAGAGAGAGAGAGCGACGAGCAGAGGAGCGAAGTGCGGAGTAGAGAAAGAAAAAGTGGTTCGACAAATGAAGCGGATGTGGTAATTGGTCGCCGTTTTCTTTTAGCTCTGGGATACTTAACCGGGCGGGGGATTACTGAGTCCAAACTCCATTCTATTCTAATGCTGAGCAAATTCTACAAAAAAAAAAAAAACACAACACATTAATCCACAGATCTTAAGAAGAGCAAAGCAGAGCAGAGAGCAGCAACAATGGGCAATGTGCACACGCTAGAGGAGGGCATGGCCCATGGGCATGGCCATGGCCATGGGCAGGGACAGGGCAATGGCAACGGCAACGGCAACGGCAAGGAGGGACTGGGACAGTCGCACATGGACAAGGAGAAGCTCTATCGATTCTTCGGCATACGCATGGCCAATGAGGGCGATGGCTATGATATAACCGGGCAGCGGCGTGCGGAGATACAGCTGAAGCAGGAGGAGAATCTGGAGGCAGCGGGCGCAGGAGGGGTGCGTGCCGCCGCAGCGGTTGCCGTCGGCGGTCTGGCAGCGCCGGCGACAGCGTTGCCAGAGCGTTTAGCGAATCCAGGCACCGTGGCGGAATTGCATCGTCGCTGCCACGATATGCTGCCGCAAACATTTGACGGCTTCCGGCTAAATGTTAGCCGTGCCCTCGGCAGCAGTGTGACCGTCGGCCATTCCCTGCAGGTGGGCAACCGGCCGCAGACCGCCGACTGTCAGTTCAATGCCAGCTATATGGGCCAGCGGCAGCACGAGCTAACCGGCGAGGCATACCCAATGATCATCGGCGAGGTGGATGCCCACGGCAATGTGACCGGCACATTGATGCACTTCATCACGCCACGGTGCCGTGGCAAACTGACGACCACCATACTCGACTCGGAGGTGCAGAGTTCGCGCCTCTTTCTAGACTATTTTGGCAGCAATTATAGCTGCACCTGCGTTCTGAGCAACATCGATCTGCCGCAGCGCATGGGCGTCTTTGTGGCATCCTATCTGCAACAGGTCACCCCCGAGCTGGCGCTGGGCGTCGATTTCATCTATCAGCGCGAGGATATTGTGCCCGGCGGCCAGGCGGCGCTCGTCTCGGCAGTGGCACGCTACCAGCAGGATAATCGACAATGGTCCGCCATGATCAGCCTGCACGCCCTGGAGCTCTGCTATACGCAGTTCTATGGCCAGAGTCTGGGCGCCAGTGTTCAGCTGCAGGCTAATATCTTGAAGCGTCAGGCGATATCGCGGCTATGCTATCATTGCCATATGCCCAGGGTTGGGTTCAGTTTTCGGGGCGGCATCGATACACGCGGCGTCATCAGCGCCGTCTGCGAGAAGCGACTCGAGCCGCTGCCCATTCTGCTGCAGCTCAGCGGCAAGCTGAATCATCTGACCAGTCGGTTTCGCTTCGGCCTGGGCCTAATACTGGGCTAAGCATGGATGCCACATGGTTTGGTGCGTATATCTTCCCTTCTCCCTGCCTATCACTTGCTGACTCCCTCTTTGTAGGCCCTCAATTTCAGCCACTTGACGAACAAGCAACAGCTTGATCAGCTCTTGCATTGGAATCTGCCACAGAGCGTGCAACGAATTGTTGAATGCTCTTTTTTGTGCCACAGTCTTAAATGCTTGTTTAAATAAATCAAATTCGGAGGCGCCTGCACCTTTTTAGTGCGCTTGGTTCGCGCCAACGACTCAAAATAATATTAAAATAAGATAAAAATATATATTTAAAAAAGAACAAATTCAAATGAACAAGATGCTCAAGTCCAAATCAGCTCAATTTTTTAAATTCAGCGGTTTTATTCAACTTTCCAAAAGTAAACAAAATGTAACAGTAAGAAACTCGAAAATTCAGAAATGATGTTAATTTAATAAAGCGAAATTTATTTAAACAAAAGTACTATTTTCTCTTTTTTCTTTTCAGATTTCGCGCGCTTGCAAGACGCTTGGAAAAACCTATGAGAACCAAGTTTTGTCTAAATTGCTTCAATAAAAACTGTTCATACACTTAGTTTCCAACACTCGACAGATAATCCGAACTAAGCTATAGCGAGGCAGCCGTCGACGCTGATCAGGTACAAATGTATATATTTTAAGAATCCAAGAAATTTTGAATAGTCTGTAATAATGCTACTGCATATAAATCATGTTTTAATTGGTTTCTTTTTTATTTGTAACTAACAAATTAATTCAGCGAGTAGTTTTTTTTTTTTCGTACCAATTGTAGCGAGTATCTGGCAACGAATAAATTTGCTCGCTGGAATATTTTGCCCCTCATAATCGCAATCAAAGCTTAAACTCGAACATTTTCACTTGTTTTTTCAGCAAAATATCGCATATTCAGCGAGATTACGAAAAATTGTAATATCTATCACATTCGGTGCACTTGCTGCAACGAGTAGCAGCACTCGCTGGAGTATTCCGTCCATTATAATCGCAACCTTAATATTTCTATCAAAATTAAGAATATTCAGCAAGATTATGAAAAATGTACAATTTTCCCCATTTGCTGCATTTACAGCAAGGAGTAGCACCACTCGCTGGAATAATCCGTTCATTATAATCGCAACGGAAGGTCAAACTCGAGCATTTTCACTTGTATTTCCAGCAAAATGTTGAATATTTATCGAGATTGTTAAAACTGTCGTAATATCTGTCGCATTTGTGGCACAAATATTTGCGCACGAAACATTTATGGGCCCAGAAGTCAGGTGATGGTAAATTCAATTTCGTTCAGCCGAAATGACTTGAACAAATGCGACAATTGTAACTCCCTCGAGGCCCTAATCACCAGACTATTTATAATATTTGCATTAACGCTCATCTCGATTACGTTTGTCTCTCCAGTTGCTGTTTTCTGTGCCGGCGATAAACGCGACTCGACTCAACTCGCTGTCCGCTGTGCTAGGCCCAAGCGTAAATATTGACACAAGGAGCTATGCGATAAGAGCCTAGGACCGGGCCCGGGCCCGGGCCCGGGTCCGGGTTTGAAATTGGGTTCTTTGGCTATGAAATGTTGTTTTTGGGTCTTATTTGTTTGCCAGCTTGTTGGAAACAAACGCCCAGGGTCTCAGGTAAGCAAGCAACGAGAGCAATTCGTTCTACATATCTTTGGCGAGATATCGAGCGGAATTTTATGAAATGCTTTTGTATGATTAGGCATTTTTTTTGCTGGCTTATGCCAATGACTGGATTGCCATGTTTATTATAATGTACATGTTTGTGCAGGCATATTACATCAAAGCAATGCCCAGTCGTTTATTTCCCCGCACTGCCTACTCGTTGTTTTTTTATGTGTATGATTTTGAATTTTCCTTCATTTCTTTCTTTCTAGAGCAATTTACGCTTTACAACTTCATTTCACATTGCCCGCTCGTGTCTAATTATAAAATGCGAAATTGCAAATTGCATTTTGCAGTGGGGCAAACACGCACACACACACACACATACTCAGAGAACCACTCACCTATAGTCAAGCAGCTGCAGAGCACCACATAGAGTGTGGCGAGTTGAGCCACTCGCTGCCTTTGCAGTTGGCCCATTTTCCTCTTCTGGTTGTTTGTTTTGGCTTTGCTGTTGTTTTAGTTGTTGTTGTTGACTTTTCTTGTCGTTCACTTTTCGCACAAGAATTAAATAGTATTTTCTTTTTTTTCTTTCTTTTTTTTTAAATCAGTTTTCGTTTTTGTTCTTTTTGCTTACGGCACACAGAAAAAAAATGTATAAAAAATTCGCAGTTGCTTTAATGTGATTTTAATTTTATGATTTGCGCACTATTTAGAAAAACACACACTCGACGCCAATTAGCGAGAGCTAACGCGAACGAGTACTTGACTTCAAAATTGTATCTCAATTGCGGTCGCTCTTGAGTTTATCGTGCGCTGTTTGGCATCTGAAAAGAAGCAGAAACGTGTGGCATATGGTTAGTACTTGGGTAAATTAGGTTTAACGTTAACGAGTAGCGAGTAACGAGTAGCAAGTGGCAGCCTAGCGAATAGGATTAACAACTCCTGTTTTATGCTTAGGCTAACTTTGGCAATTGAATTTAGCGCTCAAGCTAAACCGCAAACACCACCAGAATTTATTATAACGAATGAATGTCGGCGCTAAGCAAAAGAAAGGATTGAGCTAACCAACTTTCAATTGACATTGCAGCTGACATGCAACTCGAAAACTAAGCCAGATTTAAGCTCAACAATGTTGACTAAAACGAATAACTTCGGACCTGTGACGAGTAGCAAACTACCGAACGAACTGGCTAACCGACTGTCAAAGTGACAAATAGAACTTAGAGAAAACTTAGCGAATTGACTGCTGATTTTATTAAATTGCAATATTAGCCACAACTTAGTTAACAAACTAAAACGAGTGTCAGTGAATATTAGAGAATGAGTTTTGCCAACTCTCAAAGTGACAAATATAACTTGGAAGAATCTTAGTTAACTGACTTTGCTGCTAAAATCAAACTGTAAACTCAGTTACATTCAAGTTAACAAGCTTCAGCGAGTCACTTTCAACGAGTGGCAAACTAACAAATGAACTTGCCAACTTTTAGAGTGACAAATAGAATTCAGTCAACTGTCTTTGCTGCTAAAATAAAATTGTTAAATCAGCCACAATTAAGTTAACAAACTGCAACGAGTTACTTTCAACGAGTAACGAGTGACAAACTAACGAATGAGCTTACCAACTTTCAAAGTGCCAAAGAGAACACAGAAAATTGACTTTGGGATTGAACTTTAGTCGTTTGCAGCGAGTGAGCCGAACTAACGAATGGCAAAAAGCAAAGTTTGCAAGTGGCAAAACTGAATGTCTGACAATTGGATTTAGCGCTGAGCCGCAACTCGTTAAAATGCCAAATGTTGGCCTTTACTTTTGGCCAGCAACTGACTCAACAATAAAGAACGTTGAAAACGCATCGCAGCCGTCGCCGCAGCCGCCGCCGTCGCTGCTGCGTCACACACGGGCGATTTTGTAGCGACAGCGTCAACTGGAACCGGCGACGGCGGCAGCGAAAAAACTTGTCTGTGACTGAGTCGCAAGTGCGAGGCGATTATGAGTGAGCGCATGTGTGTGTGCTTGTGCTTGTGCTTGTGCGTATGTGTGTGTGAGTGTAACATTTGCGCTTTGGCTTTGTTTTTTCCTCTTCGCCTTTGCATTCTAAAGTTGGCAGCTGAGCAGCAAACCTGCTGCCGCTGCAACCGCGACGCACACATGTGCGTTGCACAGCCTGCCCGCTGCTTGGCCAGGTTTTTGTAACGGAAATTACTGCGTTGTCTGCAGTTGAAGCACGTCGCGGCACAAGGAGCACAAGAGAGGGGGCAGCGCGCTCACACGCATACTTAAAGAGCAAAAAAAAAAAAAAAAAAAAATTAAAAAGTAACAAGAATTTATTTTATATTTGCTGCTTGATTTTTCCAATAAATTTTGTTGATGCTTATCGTGCAGGTAGCTGCTCACTCTTTCTGCGTTTGTCTGTGTTTGTGTGTGCGTGTGTGGGTGGGCGCTCTCTTTAAAATACTGAACATCAGTGAACGTGATTTGGAGAGCGTAAGAGAGCGCACTAAGCTTTGTGAGAGCGCGTTAAAAGCGCGCGTTCAATTTTGTTTGTCTTTGTTGTTGCAATTTTGATGTTTTGACATTTCGTAACGGCCGCACGATAAGCAGCTAAACTGACTCACGCTCTCCACTAACACACTCACGCTCACACACATATGTTCTTTAAGCACAGCTAAATTGCATGTCTATGCAAATGTCCTTGAACTGCAACAGGTTCGATTGGCAAATAGCGCCCGTCTCCATGCACTGGCAGCCTGGCAACGCCGTCGATAAACAATAGAATTCAAAGGGGGCAGGCCCCTGCACTTAATCGATATTACTCCGTTGGCCTTGAAATTTGTTTTCTCTAGAGCGCAGCCAAGAGTTGTGCTAATTATTTATTAACTTTAATAAGAGCCAGAAAACCAAAAACAATTCGCAGCAACTCGCTGCAATATTTTCAAAATACTTTGCAACACTATTTTTCAAGAGCGTTTCGAATTTTAAATGTTCAATTTTTTCGGCTTCTTTCGAATAGAGTTTTAGCTTTTCTGTTAACGGTCATACTTTTCTGTCGCTCACTGTGTGTGTGTGTTAACACACGTTAATAACGCAAAGCCGCAACAACAAACAAAAACTACAACAACAAAAAAACTAGGTAAAAAAAAAACAACAACTGGGCGTCATTCCCCAAGCGGTACAAAAAAACCAGTTTTCCAAAGCATTTAAATTTTCTTTGCGTTGCGCTTACTTAATTATTTATTACAGTATTTTGTATTCGCTTTAACAAAGAATGCACTCGAGAGTTGTTTGTTTTTTGTAAATAACTTTTTAGCCACACAAAAAATAATTGAATAACGCTTTTACTTAATTTAAGCAGCACGTGACTCACGGCCTACAAAAAACAAATTTAGTTGACCAAAAGTCGAAGAAATGATAATTTTTAATAAACTCAACGTCACAGCAATATTTTTCGTATATTTTTATCTGTTTATATTTTTGCGCTTGTGTCACACGCATTTTTTTTTAGCTAGCTATTTGTTTATTTTTAAATATTTCCAACCAAAAACGCCGCAGTTATTTTTGTTCAAATATGCGTGCACTTAACAATAAAAACAAGGCAAAAAAACAAAAAAGGCAGAGATGAAAAAAAAAACAAGTATTACCAATATTTCATTGTCTAACTGGCACACACACACATTCAGTGAAAGAGACGAGGCGAGACACGTTACGTACATGCGATAAACGTTAAGAACTCGCGGTCCGTGTTACCACAGTTAACTAAATTACGAGCTTGGGCAACGCCAACACACACGACGGCAACGGCAGGCGACAAAGAGCAGACGACGTCCACTCGCCACG